CTCGAGCGCCCCTCGAACGGCAGGAGGACCCACCCGGCCCTCGGTGGGGGTTCGGCTGCCACCGCCACCAACCGCCTCGCCCCTACGTCTGCTTTGTTCCCCCGCACGCTCTCTTGTCGCTTCCATCCCCCACACACCCCCGCAACCTGCTGTTCCTGGCGTGCCCCACTGGTAGGCACCCCGGCAGCCGATCCAGGCCTGCTGCCCCCACCCTGGGAGCGAGGGACGCTCGGGCCGGCTCCTGGAGAGGGCTCAGGGCTCCAGCTGGTCACAGATGGCGTGGGGATTTCCTGGGATAGAAATAGCCGCCGATTCTGGCCCCTTAAAGCTGCTTAAGGGGCGGGATGGAAGAGGAGGGTCTGGGCACACCCCCACACCTCCCCGACCGCGCCCCCAGCCCAGACCCGGGCGGAGCTCTGACCCAGGAGAGGTCAACAGCTGTGAGAAAGCCCCTCCGGTTGCTTGTGAGAAAGAGCTGAAGCCAAAAATCCCGAGGTTGACAAAGTCATCCCCTTGTCCATCACCTCCTCCATCTTTGGGGTCGGCCTGGAGACCCCCTTCTGAAGCCTCACGCCCAGCCACCCGGTCCCCACTCGCCTCTCCTGGCCCCTCTTCCTGGGCTCCCCATGGCCCTGTGGCGAAGGTCAAGAATCCCTCTCCTTCCATCCTGGTTCTCTGCAGCAGGTGGGGTGCCTGGCTTGTTCATGTCACCGCAGGACTAACTGTTCTCTCTCTCTCCTCTAGGGGAAGACCGCAGAATCTGAGGCCATGTCCCATGAAAAGAGTTTCTTAGTGTCTGCGGACAGCTATCCTCCCCCCAACCCTGGATATCCTGTGGGGCCCCCAGCCCTCCATGCCTCCCTACCCTGGGGCCCCTTACCCACAGCCCCCATTCCAGCCTTCCCCCTATGGCCAACCAGGGTATCCCCAGGGCCCCAGCTCCTATCCCCAAGGGGGCTACCCTCAGGACCCCTATCCCCCAGGAGGCTACCCTCAGGGCCCCTACCCCCAAGGGGGCTACCCTCAGGGGCCATATCCGCAGAGCCCCTTTCCCCCCAACCCCTATGGACAACCACAGGCCTTCCCGGCACAGGACCTTGGCTGTGAGTAGTGGGGCAGGGGTAGGGCGAGGGCAGGGGCTCCCGGCTCCAGTGAGTGGCACTGACCCAGCCCATCCTGCTCCTCAGCACCTCAGCATGGGACCTACCACGAGGAGGGGCCCCCATCCTACTACGACAACCAGGACTTCCCTGCCACCAACTGGGATGACAAGAGCATCCGCCAGGCCTTCATCCGGAAGGTGGGCCGCGGGGCTGGGGAGGGCCCAGGTGGCTGCGTTGGCCAGGGCTCTGAGCCGCCTCCCTCCCCAGGTGTTCCTGGTGCTGACCCTGCAGCTGTCCGTGACTCTGTCCACCGTAGCTGTGTTCACCTTCGTCGGGAAGGTGAAGGGCTTTGTCCGGGAGAATGTCTGGACCTACTATGTCTCCTACGCCGTCTTCTTCATCTCCCTCATTGTCCTTAGCTGCTGTGGAGACTTCCGGCGAAAGCACCCCTGGAATCTCGTTGCACTGGTAACCCCAAGACCTGAGCCCTTAGCCCCTGGGGCCCAGCCTTCCCACCACACACTCTCCCTCTTTGGAGCCACAGAGGGCCTAGGGGTGGGAGTGGGGCAGCGGCTCCCCACACTCAAGGCTACATCTGCCCGCAGTCCATCCTGACCGTCAGTCTGTCCTACATGGTGGGCATGATTGCCAGCTTCTATGACACCGAGGCAGTCATCATGGCCGTAGGCATCACCACGACTGTCTGCTTCACAGTGGTCATCTTCTCCATGCAGGTGAGGGACCCCCCAAGGCAGGGCTGCCAGCCCTGGGGGCCCAGAGGCCTCCGGGGGTGTGGCACGCAGGGTCTCCTGTCTCTCCCTGTGCCCTCAGACGCGCTACGACTTTACCTCGTGCATGGGCGTGCTCCTGGTGAGCATGGTGGTGCTGATCATCTTTGCCATCCTGTGCATCTTCATCCGGAACCGCATCCTGGAGATTGTGTATGCCTCGCTCGGCGCTCTGCTCTTCACCTGCGTGAGTGACGGGGTGGGCCACCCGGGGCAGGATGCTGGGCAGGTGGGCTTGTCCTTCAGCACCCCGTGCTGTCATCCGCAGTTCCTGGCAGTGGACACCCAGCTGCTGCTGGGGAACAAGCAGCTGTCCCTGAGCCCGGAGGAGTATGTGTTCGCCGCATTGAACCTGTATACAGACATCATCAACATTTTCCTGTACATCCTCACTATCATTGGCCGCGCCAAGGAGTAGCCCGAGCCCCTGGCTCACGCGGGGCCCCACTGGGGTGGCGCCCTTGTCCTGGACCCTGTCCCTGATGTGGCCGTTCCTCGGTACCTCCCCTCTCTGATACCCGTGCACAGCCTGGGACAGAGGGAACCCCTCTCCAACCCTCCTGTGTGTATACTGCAGATGCCTCTGTTCAGACCCGCTGTGGCCAGCATGGCCCCTCCTAGCCCTCCCACCCCGCCAAAGGGTAGCGGGGCTGGGCCTCCGTGCCACCTCCTGCCCACTTACTGTTGCATGAGCCCCATCTGCCAGCCCACCCCAGGGCCTGGGGGGGGGGCGAACACCAGGTCCCAGGGGAGAGGGATTGAGCCAAGAGGTGAGGGTGCACGTCTCCCCTCCTGTCCCAGCTCCCCTGCCTGGCATAGAGCATCCCTTTCCCCTCCCCACCCCAACGCTGGAGCGGTGCCCTCTGGGGGACCTGAGGGTGAGGGTCTCATCCCTGTGCTGAGCCCTGAGGGCAGAGAGGATGGGAACATTTCAGGGGAGGAGGACGCCTTCCTCTCGTTCTGCTGTCTTTAAAATTCCAATAAATGGGACCTTCAGTGCTCTCCGTTCCCTTCATCACTCCCTTGTCACTGCCACTTGCTCCATGAGGGGGCAGGGGTCTCAGCCTCACAGTGTGATGAAGACAGTAGGACCAGGTGTTGATGGGGCCGGGGGCTCGGGCTGGAGGTCGGCAACAGGAGCTAACATTTCTCCAGCTGTACTTCCACCTCCCTTCTTACAGTCTTCCCAGCCATGTTGTGAAGCGAGTGCTGGGATCCCCAGCTGTTAGCTGGAGACCCTGCGGCTCCCAGAGGTTAAGCATGGTGGCTGGGCACATGATGTCTGCCACTCACACCTGGGAACTGCACAGCATGATGGAGGGTCCTGTGAGACCCTCATCTTCCAGCCCCGGGCCTGAGAGGCAGCGGTATACGTCACTGACCACCCCGGGGCAGGTCTGTCCTGCTACTCTGGCTCTGCAAGGTCCCCAGGGAGCCCATCAGCCGGCACCTGACACGTGGCCCAGGCCTGACGTAGACAATGGCCCTCTGCACCTCCTCACCCCAACCCCAGCAGGGAAACTTGCAGACTGGAGCCCCCGGTGAAGAGCTGGACAGAGGCTCTGAGGGCTTGGCCATTTGGGGCCTGGCCTGCTTCCAGCACCATCTTCTGGCCTAGCCAGGCCCCAGCCTTCCATGGCCCTGAGCCTCAGCTTGTTCTGCATGTCCTCCCCTGTGACTCCTGCTGCCTCAGCTCTGGAGCCCTCACCCACCCACCCCTGCTCTCAGATGTTCACTCAGCCAGCCAGCTGTAACATCCACAGCCTCCCTGCAAAGAGCCCTTCCATTGCAGTCTGAGCACCTCCCTGTCCTGAGCTCCTCTAAGCTCCTGGCCCCAGAGGACACTCCTCACTGTGGCTAGCTTGGCTTGAGAACCCCCTGGCAGGACCCCATCTCCTCCCCGTCAGCCCATCAACCCACTCCTTTAGCTGGTGCTAGCAGCCCAGCATCTGTGAAGGGACCCACAGCCTGCGTGTGAGTCAGCACCCCCCGTGCCCATGGGCACCACAGCCAAGTCCCTCCCCGGCACCTGCTGCTCCTGTGTGTTCTCCGTCAGTGGTGTCCAACCTGGGCCCAGGCCAAAAACGGATCTGTCCTCTCTCCCCTCGTTCATCCTGCCCCACCAGCTCTCCCTGCCCACCTTCCCCTGCCTCCTGAGGCCTCCTTGTGCTCACCTGTCAGCTCACCTCCACCACCCTCTCTGCCCACTGCCAGGTGCACTTCCAACCCACTAACCATACCACCTGCCTGCTTAAGGCCCCTTGGATGGTTGCTGGCGGAATGAAGTCCACATCCCTGATGGCTGCTCCAGCTGGCCTTGGGCTGGCCCCTGGCCCCTCAGCCCAAGGCCTGACCTTGCTCAGCTGGAGCCAGAGGCACGCCCCACTGCCCCAGGGGATGCGCACTGCCTTCCCGGCTGCCTGGGCCCTCCCTAGAGTCCATCTCCCCCTGTGCGGCATTTGCCTGCCAGGCCTGGCACCGCTACCCTTAGTCTCTGCTTCGTTCACATGCTGAGCACCGGGCAGGCAGTGCAGCTCCCCTCCCCTACCTCTCGAGCAGGTGCGGTTCCTCACCCAGGGTGCCCTGCTCACAAGCACTCAGGCATGGGGGCACCTGGTCAGTGTCAGCTCACAGAGCAGACCCCTGGGGCTTGCACACTGAGGAGGAAGCACGGAGCATTCGTGAGGTTAGAGTCCCAGTGGAGGCAGGAGGAGGAGCTCCGGAATAAAAGGCACGTGCAACGTGTTAGGACAGCATCTCCCCCAGGAGCTTGAGGAGAACAAATTCTAGGCTGAGTGAATCCCTGGGGGAGGTTCCCGGGGCGGACAACTGGGGTCTGGAGGTGTTGGCCAGGGCCAGGGCTGGGGTGGGGAAGCTAGGGGTGCAGAGTAGAGGCCGTGCTGCAAGGTAGAAGGCCAGGCCTTGAGGGCTTGGGCCTGTCCTGCAGGTGAAGGGGACCCTGGCAGGAGCCACAGCTTGTTTGTGTTCAGGAAGAGGAGTCCAGCAACAGAACGTCCAGGAGAAGGGGTGGGTGCAGACAGGTGAAGAAAGCAGAAGGAGCTGTCAAGAGAAGACCTCGGAGCAGCTGCAAGGGGTTCGGCCTGGAGCAGCCTATGGTCAGGGTGGGCCCAGGTGAGGTGGGCAGGAGTCCGCCTGCCGTCCGCCATGTCCGACCCAGGAAGGAGAAGGGGCAGCTTATGATCTGACTGGGCGGATGAGTGTGTGGAAGATACCCACAAAGCCCAGTGGAGCCGCAGCAGTTGTGAGGTCAGCCACGGAGATAATTCAGGTGCAGAAAGCAGCATCCCCCACCGTCCGGGAGCTGGCCCGGTGCTTTCAGCCAGTCCTACACCTCCTGGTGTGGTAGGAGCCAGCCTGGCACTCTCAGATACAGGCCCTGGTGTTCTCCTGTTCAGCAAAGACAGTTTCCCCTAAGACCGGCATCAGACAAGGCCAGTGGTCCTATCAGCTAGGCCCTGGTGTGGTAGGAGCCAGCCTAGCACTCTCAGATACAAGCCCTCATGTTTTCTTGTTGAGAACATACACAGTTTCACACAAGACCAGCATAAGGCCCCTCTGTGACTGGGATGGGTCCACAGAGAAAGACCCCTCCATGATAATGTCTGAACACAGACAAAACGTGGGCATTGTCCAAGCCATAAAGAAGACCTGCCGTGTGCGCCCTGTCCTGCCTCATCTCTTCATAATGGACAGCTTTAGCTGGTCCCTGATCCTTCCTCCTTCCAAGGAAGATATGTTAAGATACTCGTCACAGAAGGACCCCACTTCTTGACAGCATCTAATCCCCAGGAAAGCACTGCTTCATTAAACCTGCCCCAATTCCCCCGAGTCAGCCAAGTCCCACAGGACGTCCTTCCCAGCCTTTCCTGCGAACCTGGTGGCTCCGTGGCATGTGTCCCCCTTGCCACAGCTAGCGGCAAGCCCGACCTGTTTACCCGCAGGGATCCAGCGGG